TCCTCGAGTACTCTCCCACCCATGTTCAAATAAAGAAAGATAAGTGAAAATTTCATGGTATAATATCCAGTTTAATTTTTTTTTTTCAAAGTTCGTTCTCCATATTTTCCCAAAAAGAGTGAAAAAGGAAAGGATCAATTGTACTTTTGATCCCTCAGTTATGTAGATTTTGTATTGATCCATATGATATTCCACTAAGCATATTTAATCTTGATTAATCGAAATATTTATTTTGTTTTTCCTTAGATAGAAAATATATACTATATAAATTATAGATTATATTTAAAAGTATACTAGCCGCAAATATGAAATAACATTACCAATTTAATAGTATAACATATGAGTAATTAAATGCTTTAATAGTTAATAATTTATTAAGATCGTAAAGTTTTACAAGAAAAAAGATTAAAAGTAAAGTGCATATTTTAATTAATTTAGAATTGAATGTGCTTAACTATAAATCAAAACAAAAATCGGAACTTATCAAAATTTCAGAGATTAAGTAGGCGTTTGGACATAAAAATTATAATTTTTTAAAAAAGTAATATTTGGAGCAAAGTTGAAAAATTGTATTTGAAATTTGAAATTATATTTGGACATGCATTTTATTTGAAATATTACAGCTTTGGTAGCGGGTAAAAAAGTTTTTCCGAAAACGTTGAAAACGTGGCCTTTGAAAAACTCATTTTCAAAAAAAAAACGAAATTATATGGACAACAGATTTTTGAAAATTAATTTCGAAAAAAGATTTTTTATTATTTATAGACAAACGGAAATAATCAAAAGTACATCTACTCAACTATATATACATGTAAGCAGACCCTCTTAAACCACACCAAATTAAAAGCCAATGGAGGGCTCTATCATTTTCTCACTATCCCTTCTCTTATTTTTCACCCTAGCCCAAGGGCAGACCAACACCAACCCCAACCCCAAATGTGGCAGCAGCTTTCACCAAGCAGACAAAGGCTCAACACTACAAGTCCTACATGTGAACAGCCCTTGCTCTCCTCTTAGACACAATGCTCCACAGTCATGGGTTGATACTGTCCTCCAAATGCAGTCCAAAGACCAAGCCAGACTTGATTTGTTTGCTAGTCTTGTGGCTGGTAGATCCTTTGTTCCTATTGCTTCGGGAAGACAAGTTATACAGACCCCAACTTACATAGTGAGGGCCAAGATTGGAACCCCACCTCAAACTTTGTTGGTTGCTGTGGATAATAGCAATGATGTTGCTTGGTTCCCTTGTAGTGGTTGTGTTGGTTGCTCCTCTACTGTTTTTGCCACAGATAAGTCCACCACTTTCAAAAATGTTAGCTGTGGAGCTGCACAATGCAGCCAGGTATTCATTATACCCTTCAATCCCAACACTATACTCCTAATGTGATTTTTGACTGGACATATAATTTAATAAGTAACAAAAGGCTTTTGGCACGTATTAAATTAAAAGTGTCCTGTAATTTTAACCATATATATAACTACATATCTTTAGCTATAAGAGGTGTATTATCTTAGGGTAAATAGAAAGTTTAGTATTAAAGAGTTCATGAAGGTGTTATTCTTGTTAAAAGAAATTAAAATGGAAAGAGTGTCCGTACAAAATGGAATGAAGGAACATCATTTTGAAAGATTTCCGAAACTAGTTTCAGTACATTTAACTTTGAACATTGTAAGTACTAGAAATTATCTACATTTCTGCAACGATAGCATATCGACCACATGTTTTGTTTTATATTATATCAACCACATCTAACACTTGCCCTTTCTCTGTCTTCAATTTAATGATCCTATTCGCCTCAAAAGAGCAGTTCATATTTTGTTTCGATTTGTAACATTGATTGACTTAAACGTTGAAAAAATAGGATTAAACAGCTTATAACATAATAATCTATCAAGCACAACTTTTAGGATAAGAAAATGATCATAATTTGAGAAAACCTAGTCAATTTTTTAAGATTGAGAAAGTATGGCCAAGTATCTACTAGGAGGGCGAGCTCGTAATTATTGGGTAAAATAGGAAACGCGCTACGTATGGCGCGTGAGGGCTGAAAAGTTGTTCCCTGGCTTTGTCGACATTGGAGCAATTAGCGGTAGTGTTATAGTAATCCCGTGACCTTTGTCACATGATTTGGCCAACATTCTCATTCCACTAAAGGACATTATTTATTTATTTATTTGTAAGGACACTTAATATCAGATGTCATGTCACTAGTAAAATGGACAATAGGAATTCCAGCAATTAAGGACAATAACTACGTTTCAGTATTAAATAAGTTCAGCTGGACTACATGACACAACATGATTTATTTGTGTATATGCTAATTATTATTACTAAAAATATTTTTCAGGTACCTAACCCCACATGCGGTGGCAGCAGTTGCGGTTTCAACCTAACCTACGGCGGCTCCAGCATAGCTGCAAATCTCTCACAAGACACATTGACACTCTCCACTGACGCCCTGCCTTCATATACCTTTGGTTGTGTACAAAAGGCCACCGGCAGCTCTGCACCACCCCAGGGGCTATTAGGTTTGGGCCGAGGCCCATTATCATTTTTGTCCCAAACCCAAAGCTACTACCAGTCCACTTTCTCCTATTGTTTGCCCAGTTACAAATCTCCCAACTTTTCCGGCACACTTAGGTTGGGCCCAAATGGTCAGCCCAAAAGGATTAAGACAACTCAATTGCTAAGAAACCCAAGGAGATCTTCCTTTTATTATGTTAACTTGGTCGGAGTTAAAGTCGGCCGGAGAATCGTTGACATCCCCCCCAGTGCTTTGGCTTTCAACCCTTCCACCGGTGCCGGCACCATAATTGATTCCGGTATTTAATTTAACAACGATGAATATATCAGTAATTATAATTCTATGTACCAATTTTCGCTAAACCAATATTTTCAATTGGCAGGGACGGTATTCACGAGGCTAGTGGAGCCGGTGTATACAGCAGTGAGGAACGAGTTTAGGAGGAGAATGGGAAGGAATACGACAGTGACAAGCCTTGGCGGATTCGACACTTGCTACACAGTCCCCATTACAATTCCAACAATAACGCTGATGTTTGCGGGCATGAACGTGACGCTGCCGCAAGACAATTTTTTGATCCGCAGCAGTTCCAGCAGTACCACTTGCCTCGCTATGGCTGCTTCCCCTGCCGATCCTGTCAACTCCGTCCTCAACGTCATCGCCAACTGGCAGCAGCAGAATCATCGCTTCCTCTTCGACATTCTTAATTCTAAGCTCGGCGTTGCTCGTGAAACCTGCAGCTGAAGTACTGCTTTTAGATTTTAATGGGATTTTCTCCTTTTCCGTTTTTTCTTTTTTCTTAATGTGGGGAATTAATTATTAGAGATAGTTTTCACGGCGTGGCACATTGGTATTGTCGGTGCATTTTGCTGTTTTGGATTTATCTTATCTATGTCACGGGTTGAAAGTTACTACACCTGTTTCCAACTTCCAAGTATTATCGTGCTATTTATTTCTTGGTTTCCACACCTCGAAGGAAAACAGAAAATGATTGCTCGTCCATTCCAATTCTACTAGATTATTACTACTACCATTACAGAATGTTGATTGGGCGTGATTATAATTTCTGAATCCATTTGTCTTTAATCCCTTATTCGTAATAAATGACCATTTTATCTTTGGCACACCCATTAAAGATATTCGAACTTTAAAGAATAAAAATGTATTCATTGAATTAATCTTTATTAATAGTTATCTTGACACATTGAAATATATAAATAGGGACATATTTTAAAAAAATAAAATTAAATCCATTCTTGATTATGTAAATAACCACTAATTTTGAACGAAAATAAAAAATAAAATTATCACTTATTATGGACCATGGGAGTAGTAAAATACATCTCTAAAATTATACCCACGAGTAAATTGGACCCATGAAAATTTATCAGAGATTTGAAATGTATTCAAAGTTATCGTTTAAAGAAGTAAAGGATGTTAAGCAGGGCTAGCTAACGTACGCTTTCAAGCCATGACTCGACGGAAAAACAAAGGCGAGACACCGACGACGGAAAACAGGAAGAAAGAAGTAGAGTAGTAACACCAGAGTCTGGAAAACCTCAAACATTAGGACAAATTCAATTAGGTCAATGGATGACGGGAATGGGAAGTGCTCCCACGGTGATGCAGACTTCAAAATGTATTGAAATGGAGATCCAAAAGCAAACGGAAGTAGAAGCTAACTCAGCGGCGAGGAAATTGACATTCTCTATGCAGAAAGGAAACCCTAGTCAAACAACTCCAACGATGGCTGAGGTAGTCAAAGGAAATCGATCTCAACAGCAAGGGCTTCAATTGGAATACTATCTGCCGATTATGAAGGAAGGAACAAAGATTGTGCGATTAAATCAGAATGAGGTAAATGAACAAACCCAGAAATGGAAGGCAGCTTTAATCGGGTATGTTCTGGGTGGATCCCCATCATTTAAGGAGATGCTCAAATTTGTGTATGGAGTGTAGAATTTTGTCAATGTCCCACAAGTATACCTACACGACGAGGGCTATTTTATATTCAAATTTGATACTGAAGACGATAAGAACAAAGACATTCAACAAGGGCCATACACAGTTCAGAACAGACCTATGATCCTGAAACAATGGGATCTTGATTTTCAGTTGAGTAAGGAATTGACAAGGAATGTGCCTATATGGGTTATTTTCTCTACTCTACCAATTCAATACTGGAGCAAGGAAAATTTGGGTAGGATTGCGAGTTATCTAGGCAAACCTATTTGTTCAGACAAATTAACAGCTAACTGTGATAGAATTTCATATGCTCGTATCCTAGTTGAGATGGATATAACACAAAAGTTGCCTGATTCTCTGATGATTGAAGTGGCTGATGGAAAATACACGGAACAAATGTTAGAATATGAGTGGAAACCAATATTCTGTGAGGAATGCCTTCAACTAGAGCAACATAAAGAAGGGTGTACAAAAGCCCAACAAGCACAAAGGTAGATAGATCAACAGTCTATGAAGCCAAAGCAACAGCAAAGGGAAAAGAAACCAGCAGGACAATGGAGAGTAAAGGTGGTGGCAGAGAAAGATCAGAAAGAAAAGGAAGACAGCTTGGAGCCAAAGCAAGGGGAGATTATAGAAGCAGAATTCCCACAGCAAAAGAAAAGAGGAAAACAAATCATGAAGGAACAAGGAAAGCCTAAACATCACGGGGCATTGTCTGATAAAAATTTAGAAGATCTATTGAATAAGAACAGATTTGGTCCTCTGATAATTCAAGAGATGTGCAGTACTGACAAAGTGACTGAAAGGGTTGTCCTTGATAAGGAGAATCCACCATGATAGTTAGCTCATGGAATATTAGAGGGCTGAATAAGCCCTTCAAGCAGAAAGAACACAAGGCATTTCTATTTGAGCAAAAAATAGCTTTACTAGGCTGCCTTGAGACAAAAATAAAGCCTAGGAGTGTGACTAAAGTGAACGCAAAGTTCAATAGAGAATGGAAGATTTATTCTGATGAGGCAATAAATGAAAGGGGAAGGATCTGGATCCTATGGAAAGATCAGCTGGTACAAGTCAATATAGTAACAACAAGTGATCAATTAGTCCATTGCAAAGTAAAGGATAAAAGTACACAAAATACTTTTGAAGTTACTTTTGTATATGGGAAGAACACTGTTGCAGAAAGAAGGAACTTATGAGATCAATTGAGGAGTATTCAGAGTAATATTCAAGAGGCATGGTTGCTAATAGGAGATTTTAATAGTATGATGTGATAGAATTAATGGATAACCAGTACAACAAGCAGAATTAGTGGACTTTCAGAGATGTGCTATTGACATTGGGGTGGGGCAGCTAAACAGAAAAGAAAGTGAATGGTCTTGGTGTAATAAGAGGGATGCAAATGACAGGATCTATAGTAATAAGGACTGGGCATTTGGTAATGTTGCTTGGCTGACAAAGTATAGTAGTATAGAAACTATATTTGAAAACCCAGGTGTCTTAGATCATACTCCTATTGTCATTAACACAATGGTAGTCAAGTCCTATATGCCTAAACCGTTTAGACTATACAATGTGTTATTGCATAATAAGGAGTTTGATCAAGCTGTTGAAGAAATATGGGGGCAACATATAGAAGGACACAAAATGTATTTTGTATGGATGAAATTGAGGAGATTAAAGGATAGAGTGATAAAGCTGAACAAGGAGATGTCATCATTAAAAAAAAAGCTGGATAGCATAAGTCAACAACTGAAGATAACTCAGGAGAAGCTTGACAAAGATCCATTCAATGAGGAGTTAATTACAGAAGAAAGAAATCTGATAAGCCAAAAAATAAAGTGGGAAGAAGTGCATGAGAAAGTGCTGAGACAGAAATCTAAAGCAATCTGGATAAAAGAAGGAGATCAAAATACCAAGTTCTTTCATGCAAAGATGAAGGCAAGACAAGCAAGAAATATAATTGGTTCAATATGCAATGAACAAGGGGTCAAAATTACAGAGCCAAGAATGATAGAACAAGAATTCACTAATTTTTTCCAATCCTTACTTGGAGAATGTGATGAAGAACTAACCTGTCTAGATCTGAAAACAGTTAGGAAGGGCACTTGTCTAACTAATGAACAACAACATGACTTGATCAGACCAATAACAGAATAAGATATAGAGTTGGCTGTAAAAGAGTTACCTAATGACAAAGCACCAGGACTGATGGATTCCCTACAGAATTCTTCAAAACATACTGGGAACTTGTTGGAAGTGAAGCCAAACAAGCCATTAAGGACTTCTTTGAGAATGAGAAATTGTTGAAAAGTATAAACTACACAACAGTAACTCTAGTGCCTAAGGTGAATACCCCTACATATGTAAAGGAGTTTAGACCAATAGCTTGTTGCTCCACTGTCTACAAGATAATTGCAAAAATCCTGACAGAAAAGCTGAAGATGGTGGTTGATTATATTGTGGGGCCATCCCAGTCTGCATATATAGAGGGGAGAAATATACTGGATAATATGATCATAGCCCATGAGTTAGTTAAAGGATATACAAAGAAGGGAGTATCACTAATGTGTTTGATTAAGGTGGATATAAGAAAGGTGTATGATTCAGTCGAATGGCCATTCCTAAGAATGATTCTGATTGAGTTTGGTATGCCTATGAGGTTTGTGCAGCTGGTTATGGAATGTGTAACAACAGTGAGTTATTCCCTATTGATCAATGGAGGATTAACTACAATATTCCAAGCAAAAAAAGGGCTTAGACAAGGAGACCCTATGTCTCCTTATTTGTTTGTATTGGTAATGGAGTATCTCAATCGATCCTTGAAGACATTGGAAGGAATACCAAACTTCAATTACCATCCGAGATGTGCCAAGAAGAAAATAACTCATATTTGTTTTGAAGATGATCTTATATTGTGTTGTAGAGCAGATAAGATATCAATCAGATTACTCATGAGCAGATTCCAGCACTTCTCAGAAGTATCAGGACTGAAGACAAATATGGAGAAGAGTGCCTTATACATAGCAGGAGTTTCAAAAGAATTTAAAGAAGAGATCATGACAGAGATGAAGTTTGCAGCAGGGGAGGTACCATTCAAATATCTTGGACTCCCATTGTCAGCAAAGAAGTTATCTATACAACAATGTATGCCATTAGTAGAGAAGATTACAGCTCGACTCAAATGCTAGACAACAAAATTTCTCTCTTACAATGGTCGAGTTCAATTGATTAAAAGTGTGATCTTTGAAATGCAAACCTACTGGGCCCAAATATTCTTACTTCTAAAGAAGATATCTAAGCTGATAGTAACAGCTTGCAGAACATTTCTATGGACTGGAAACACTGATATCTCGAAAAGAGCTCTGGTTGCATGGGACAAAGTTTGTATGCCTTACTCAGCAGGAGCATTGAATGTAATTGACATAGTGAACTGGAATAAAGCTGCACTTTGTAAGCTCTTGTAGGCAATTACTGAGAAGAAGGACAATCTTTGGATACAATGGATACATAGCTATTATATAAAAGGAAAGCAGATTATGTCAATTCAAACACCTAAACAAGCCTGTTGGTTGATTAGGAAAATATTTGATACCAGAGAATGGTTGGTTAAGTGGGATCCACGAGCTGACTTGAACAAGTATTGTAGCAAAGGGAAGTTGAGTATAAAGAAACTATATGTTGCAACAATGTCCCAATATCTTAAATGCAGTTGGAAGAAGATAACAATTGGTTCAAAGGCACTGCCAAGACATCAATTCACACAGTGGTTGGCTATGCACAAGAAGCTCACAACAATTGACAGATTAAGAAAATGGGGCATATCAATATCTACTGATTGTGTGCTATGTGAAAAAGCTAGCGAAGAAACAATGGAGCACTTATACTTTGAATGCGACTACTCCAGACATCTATGGGCAACTCTATTAAAATGGCTGGGGGAAACACACACCATAAGGAGCTGGGATGCAGAAACAGAATGGCTAGAAAAGAGAAGTTCAAGTAGAGTTAAAGCACAACTAGTAAGGTTCCTATATGCAGCTGTTATATATCATGTTTGGACAGAGAGGAATCAAAGGAGATTTCAAGACAAGAAGATAACAAGCCAACAGAGGATGAAAAATATTATCTTAGAGCTTCATACAAGAGGGCAGAGGGAAATCAAATGGCAAAAGGAGCTGGACAAACTGAACTATTATCCTAGTTATTTGATCGGTAGTAGCTGTGCGGATCATCACGGTGGAGACTCAAGGTAAACCTGCCGCTGCGTTCGCAGGCCTCGGAGTTACCTTCGATTGTACTTATTTTCATTGGTTCCTTTTGTTCTGGAACAGTGACGTATTTACTTTGCATAACTACTCTTAGAAAGGCTTATGACCTGTACCACCGGTTTTAGGAAATTGTAATTGTTCAGAGTTATTCAATTTAAAGTTAGTAAATATCAATATTATTTCTGTTAATACTAGGCTTACCTAGTTTAGAGACTAGGTGCCATCACGACTCCTTCGGAGAGATTTTGGGTCGTGACAGTTCGAGTCACCAATAGGAATCATTTGGTAGGGTGTATAAGAATAATGTTGAATAGGGTGTATTAGTAATGCGTGGGTTGGTAATACAAGCATTACTTATGCATAGATTATTTTTTATACACTACATGGTGTGGTGTATTAAAAATTAAAATGCATTGCATAATTTTAAAAAAAATTAGTTGTTTACAAAAATGCTCTATATATTCTGTAGCTTTAAGGGACTTTAAGGACAATTTTGTCTTTAATCATACTAATACATACATTAATAGCCTTGGTATTACTAATACCATGGTTTGTTAAGCATTAGTTATACATAAGATAATATCAAATAGGATGTATAACTAATGCTTGTATTAGTTACACATAGGTTGAAAAAGTGTATCAAACAAGGTGTTACTAATACACAAAGCTAATGCATGCATTATTTTCTCCAATGCACTATACCAAACGACCTCTAAAGGGTCGTTTGGTTTGAATACGACTTATGTCGGGATAAGTTGTACTGGTATAAGTTATGCTAAGATAAGTTATACTGGGATTAGTTATGATGTGATTGTGTTTTATCCATTGTTTTGTATGTTGTATTAAATATGACAATTGCATAATTTGTAAGAAGAATGTACAAGTTATACTGGTACTAATTACCCCACCCTCTATAAGGTATAAGTTATCCCGGTGATAATTTTAATCCTAGGATAACTTATACCTGGTTTGCTAACCAAACGAAGTATTAAGGTGGTATTAAATTTTTATACCAGTATTATACCTTCTTATACCTCATATCAAACGACCCCAAAATGAGTAAATAGCTCCAACACAAAAGGGTTTTAAGGGGAATCAAAGGTCAAAAAAATGTATAACATATATATTTTATGCATAACTAGTTTTAAATTCTTTTAATATATTTGGCTAGTAAATATATTTATTTTTGATCGACCAATAGATGTATAAATAACCCTTATTTTTTTTATGAATACTTTTTTTTTCAAAGGAAATCTCAAATATATTCGAATATCCTATGGACTCAATTTCTTGATTGGGCTTCCTCCATTGTCTCCATCGTTCCTATTGTTTTCTCTCTTTACAGTTAAAATAGCACGGTCTATTCGGTTTTCAGACTTGTAATTAAAAAATAGTTAGCGCTTGCAAAGTTATTGAAAAATAGTCACTATGTATCTATGTATGAACTTCCAGCATGTTATGCTGGAACTTCAACAAATTATGAAATTCCAGCATGTTATGCTGGAAGTTCACATGTAAAAATTCGAATTCCAACATATTATGATGAAGTATTTTCCGAATTTTGAATAGTGTTTTTGTTTAGATTTATCTTTACATGAAAATACTAAATTTACTTTTGTAACTATAACTATTTTTCAATTATCACTTGTAAATCTGGCTATTTTTGAATTTCACCCATCTTCACACCACCATACATCTTCGCCAACTTTCTCCATGAGTCATTCAACACTCTCAACCGCATTCCCATTAAACTAGGGGTGGTAAATGGGCGGGTTGGGCTGAATTTGGGCGGGTCAAAATGAGTTAGGTAATAAATGGGTCATTGCCCAACCCAGCCCAAAGTGTATTTGGGTTAAGATGGGTTGGGTCAAGATGGGCTAAACAATGGGTCATAACCCAACCCGCTCAACTTGACCCATGTTTTAGAACCATGTTTATCTTGCATACAAAAATATATTTTACCTTAAAATATGTAAGTTGACAAATATTTTATGGGTGGGGGTTGGGGTGGGCGGATGGTGTAGAAAAACGGAAAAATATAAAACAGAAAACAGAAAATTGAAATAATAAAAAAATAAAAAATTAAGGGGTTTTGC